TCTTCAACAAAATCAAGAGTTTCAAGAAGCAAATCGGGCTGAGTCAACCCCCTCCGGCATCGCTTCCACAGCAAAACCCGCATTTTTTGTACCGTTATCCAGCACGTTGGCCATTTTTTGGCGTTATTTCAAGGCTACGCGGCTCTAGTTTGGAAAAAGAAGCGAAGGGAGACGGCGGCGTTGCCGGAAAAGCGAAGCGCCGGTTCTTACCTGCAGCTTCCGCGCCATGGCCACCACCTCGTGGTCGGCGGGGTTGTACTTGTAGCAGTTGGAGAACATCAATCGTACGTCCGCCGCGAATTCCTGAGCATCTCGGTATTCCCGGTTCTCCAGTTTAGACTAGAAAAGAACAAAACCAAAAGCCAAGAAAATTCTCTGCTATTAACGGAAAATTAACCAAATCGTCCGGTTGAATAAATATAACGGGGAGGCCACGGACTTCACGCAACTGTTTTCTCCCTGCGTTGGAAGGAGGAAATTTTGGTCAAAGAAGGACCATTTGGTCAAAGGAACAACTGACTTTGGTCAAAGAAGGACCGATTTTGGTCAGATAAGCAAGTGATTTTGGTCAAACGAACGATCAGTTTTGGTCAAAAGAACGACTAATTTTGGTCAAAAAGATGGCTGATTTTGGTCAAATGAAGGACTGATTTTGGTCAAAAGAATGACTGATTTTAGTCAAAGAACGACCAATTTTGCTCAAACGAACGACTGATTTTAGTCAAAGAATGATGAATTTTGGTCGAACAGACAACTAATTTTGGTCAAAAGAACGACCGATTTAGGTCAAACGAGCGCTCAGTTTTGGTCCAACAAAGCACTAATTTTGGTCAAACGAAGGATCGTGGATGGTTTATTAAGAATTAGAGTTGATTACGGGCACCCTCGATGATGTTCGGAAGAGGACTATGTGCTCTCCAAGCCACCTCCTCGCTATCTACGTTGTCAACAGCAGCAGGACGACTCGGATGAAGAACCGAATGGGGACGCTGTGCTGAAGGCCACAAGTACGAACCCCAGCTCCACCTGCCCTCAACCAAGAAGGACGGAACCTCCGTGTGCACCCACGACCGTGTGTTAGCAGAACATGGTGGGCTCTGCTCGGCTTGTTCCCCTGGAAGGAAGATCTCAAGAGCTGTTTTAATGGCACAGTCTGGTTGGATAGAAGACACCAGGATGGTCCTTCATCCAAGGATGGAAGAAGATGACAGGCTTTGTTGACGCAGGAGACAGGATTCAACCATCTCACCTACTTTCAACCATCCACCCTTTCTCCAGGAACCAAGTTGGTGTCTCCAGAGCTTGGACTCCACTCTAGGAGGGCACAGACCTGCCCTACGGCCACCTGCTCCTGTCCCAGGCCTACGTGGATCTGGGAGAACTGATCTGGCTGGAAACAGCCTTGAGACAACCCCCCATTTTCCCTGAACGCCGTATCCAGCTGTGGTACCACCAGCTGAGCCAAGAGAAGTTTCACACCTCCTTCTCGCTCCCTGGGAAAGCGGTGTTGATTGGACAACCGGAAGACGGAGAACGGTCAACAGCTGTCCCGGCAACATCTGCCAAGGGTGACCTCAGACGCACAGCCCTGCCAGACGGTTGGGCAGCGAGACGTCCAGGCAGCAACGGACGTGCAAGACCCAACACACCTCGCTGCACGAGCCGGAAGGAGAAAGGAGAAAGTCAAAGCCAAGAATTTAATCTGGTGGCCCCGAGGTTTGGCCCACCAAGACCCTACAGGTCCGAAACGCCGTGACGGAGGAAGAGCCGTGGCCTTCGTTGGCTTCAGCCTCGAAGTTGGCGGCGGGAAGGGAAAATTCCCTCCTCGGGTTCGAAAACGCAGGTCGAGACCGGGCGAAGCCGGATTAGAGCTCGGCTTAACCCGTCGGCACGGGAATCATCCCACAGCTACAAAATTCCACTTCTGAATAATGAATTAAAAAAATAAGGAATGAAGGAAAGTTAAGGAATGACAGGAAAAGTTAAAGACATCTAAACCATAATCAACACTCAACGACTACGAGGCTGAAGGTGCCTAAATAACAAATCAATGTTTTCTCCTGAAAAATTCCAAATTTTCCATTTCTAAACCACGAATTAACATTGCCAGGGGAAACGCCGACGAGTTTCGCGGTTGATTTTTAAAACGAAACAACTCCCAGTAAGGAACTGACGTTTCCAGGGGAAACATGGAAGAATTTGCAGTCGCTCTTTCCGCGGAAGCGTTCCCAAACCAGTGGGAACGACCCGCGCTCGACAGAGGAGCGATCTGACCGGACGACTCGAGGATGGGCTTTTATTTTCCAAAGAATTGAAACCGGGGGTGGTTTAAATCGAATCCTCGCGTTCCGGGATCCATGCTCTCCGAGCCATCTCCTGGGCTGAAAAAAAAGGCTGGATTTACACAGAAAAGGAAATTTTCTAAAGTTCCTGCTCCCGCGCGGGCGTTTCCCGAGAGTCCTTCCCGAAAGCCGCCGCCTCGTTTCTGTTTTTCCCCAAACGTCACGATACCATGAGAGTTGTAGAACACTGGAACAGGTTGCCCAGAGAGGTGGTGGATGCTCCATCCCTGGAGACGTTCAAGGCCAGGTTGGACGAGGCCCTGAGCAACCTGATCTAGTTGGAGATGTCCCTGTTCCTTGCAGGGGGGTTGGACTAGATGACCTTTGAAGGTCCCTTCCAGCCCTGACCATTCTATGATTCTATAATGGCAAGAGAAGAACGCGAGAGACCGAAGGCACCAAAAACCCACGGCCAAAACCCCCGAAGGCGTGCCCGGGGTGAAAAATGGCCTTTTTTAGCTTTTTTTTTTTCTCCCCTCCTCTCTGCTCCCACCCCGAGGTCCCCTTCCCATAAACCTGAGCTTACTTTGATTGTGCTCAGATCCATGGGATGTTTAATGATGTCGCAATAGTCGTGCAGTCCCAGCGCCTCCACGTCCACGGGTTTGTAGAACGGCCACGCGTAGGCGGCGTGTTTCTTGGCGAACATCTCTTTGATGATCCCGCCGCAGTATTTTAACTGCTCCGATATTTTGCTGCTCTTTTCCACGGCGTGTTGTTGAGAGTCCGGAACGTCTTTCTTTGGAGGCTTCACCGGGCGGCTGCTCTCCCGCCGCGGCCCCAGTTTGGTGGATTTGGGTTCGGCGGGTAGCGATGACGATTCGTGAATCGGGTCGATGGTGGTCGGTGTCGTGGTGTCCGCTTTCCTCTTCACCCCTTTTTTTGTCTGCAAACCAGGAAAGAAAACGGCGCCCGCCGAGTCGCGGTTCTTGGAGCGGTGGCTCAGATTGGTCGTCGTTGGTGACTTGGACCTCACGGCAACGCCACGAGAAGGACAGTGGACGTCCTTCCAAAAGTCGTAAGGATGTTGGTGGTCTGCACCAAGCTCTACGGAAAAACGTGGATTATCTCAGTTGTACCAGCAAAGGTCAAGGGTGTGAGTCACTTTGGCAAGTCAAGATTTTCTTCCCGAGTCACAAAAAAGCTCGAGGAAGGAAAGTCTGAAGAGGATGAACGAGGTTTCCACGCAAAGCCGGGTGGAATCCATCCCGTCTAACTTTAACCGGTGCCACAGAGGCTCACCGGAGGCTCATTGTTCCTCAAAAAAACAATTTTTTGGACCAAACTGTGGCCATTCGCCTTCAAATGCAACTCTGGCGGCAAAGCGAAGGGCGAGCGCTTGACCCACCGCGGCGTTTCTGCACCGTGAAGATAATTAAGCCGTTACGTTAAGGATAATTAAGGAATCACTCACCTTGACGGGCTGGGCGGGTGTCGGGATAACGGGAGGGTGAGGCTGGATGGGTTGGGGAGCCCCGGGAGCCTGAGGAGCCGGCGGTGGCGGCGCGGGAGGTTGAGGAGGCACCATCGTCATCACCGGCGTCTGGACGATGAGGTCGGGGGTGACGGAAGGAAAGGAATGAGTCGTCTGCGCCGTCTGGAGGTTCTGCTGCGGCGCTGGCGTCTGTGCCGGCGACGCCGCCTGGGTGGCGTTGGGTACCGTGGATGATCCTGGTTTGGATGTCACTGCCAAGGGAAAAGAAACAGGGAAAGTCGCTTCTCTCTTCTGACTGAACGGAAAAGCAATCAACGTTTGAAGAACAGCCCTCGTTAGCTAACGAGTGTCCTGCAGCTCCTGTTGGGCAACGGGTCGCGGACAAACACTCACCTTGTTTTATCACACAATCATGGAATGGTTTGGGTTGGGAGGGACCTCCAAGACCATCCAGTTCCAACTCCCCTGCCATAGGCAGGGACACCCTCCACCACAC